AGCAGGCACCTACCAATTCGGTCTCATCAGACACATAAAACAACTCAGTAGTTGCTTCTTTCACTACAACTCCAGTTACTGAGGTTACTACCAGACCCTTGGGGATCACCTGGGATGTCCTTCCTTAACTCAGGCATTGCTGTGACACCAATCAGTAGTACCTGTGCACTAGTAACTTGGTACTAACTATACTACAGCGGTGAAATCTATCTGCAAGATTCAACTTGTTTAAAGGATGTCCTATATTTAAAATGCAGATTACCATTAATCTCAGGTAAGTAGGATCTTTTAAAAGTGCTATTTAAATTAATAATTGTATGAATTTTCTAGCTTTCAGTAATCTGTAAAATGATTATCTGCAGTACCTGTGCAAACAGTTGCATTGGTTCACTAAATTTTTATTTTAGTTGAATTCATTTCTTTAATCTAGGCCATTTCAGTAAGGATTATACAAAATCCTTAACCCTACTAATATTTGAACCAGTTCAATAGCTAAACCTATTTTTATCACGAGATATGGAGATTCCTTTTTCGAGATGTGATTATTGTGACCCTTGCAGAAAGTCTTATCTTGAAACTTGTCTTGAAATTTAGAGGAGAAGGAAAGGGTAGGACCAAACAGGTCTAGCCAGAAGCCAAGTTTTAGGCAGCTGCTTCCTACAAAAATCCAGGGGGTGGAACCATGCGACTGACCTATTCAAGGATGACCAATTGGTCCTAAGGCAGTCATTTGAGAAAAACTGAGAATGCAGAAGACAGTAAATCCACAGAATACAATGGCAGTAGAATGTTAGTATTCAAGAAAGCAGTTATTTCCTCTCTTCCTGCCCAGGCAGGCAATGCTGGCAGGCTTCACCTTGCCTTGCTACTTCATACCTCACAGCACAGGATGAGTAGGGCTCACAATAATGAGTTGAGGCCATGGTCATTGTTTCCAGAACGTATACAAGATTTCACTGCCAGAATTAATCTTCTGGAGTGCATCCATGCATGTGAGAAACTGTGGAGGAGATCAAGATGGGACTGAATCGCCACCATGCAGTTGAATTATCTTCAGTAGTTATGTTCTCTCCGGTCAGGTTTGCTTAGAAATGATCTGCAATAACTGAAGCCTGAAGGCCTTTTGGTCATCTCTGACCTAAGATGGGCTTGTTTTTAAAAATGTCTAGCTGCTCAGCGTAAAAGGCAGAAAAAAAAAAGGCCTTTTTTTTTTTTTTCTTTTAGACGATGTTACTGCAGGCTATTTGCCATAAACTCTTGTCCCAAACACCTTGGTTGATCAGGAAAAGAAAAATCTGTAAGTCTAAGAATGCTTCTGTGTTTCTTTGTCTTCTCCTCTGTCAGAAGGATGGATTCATACTAGCTGCCCACTCCTCATTTGTATATGTAATGGAACAGCTTGCTCCTAGAGTAAGAACACACATCTGTCTGTTTTGAGCAATGAAATCACCACTTCAAGAAGCATGTGTGCCCTATATGCCATTGGAAACTTGGCTGCTGTGTAAAACCCAAAGCCATGTGTTTGTTTGGAATGATGGAAACAGCAATGAACTCGGACTGCCCTGACTCAGCAACAATTGCAGGGGCCCCTTCCAAATGAATAAAGATGCAAGAACTACTGAATTGTTTTGCATGACTAAGCTCAACAGCTTAGTAGCTCAACTCGAAGCAGACAGCAGTTGACTCTATGGAAAGTCTGCAAAAACAGGGTAATTATTTGGTCTAACCTTTGGATTTGTTTAAGGCCTACTACCTACTAGTTTCACTGCATACCTCTAGTTTTCCAATTCTGATAAATAATGGATAATTATTCATTACTCACTTTCACAGTTCTTATTCATAGCGTTTTTGCCTCCAGAAGTTCCTTTTCCAATCTGAAAAAAAATCAGTTTTACTCTGTTCTTGAAAGAAAAAACCTTTTTATATACCCACTCATCTTTGACAGCTTGCTCTGCATCCTTATTTCACCTGCTACTGAGCTAGAACCATCTGCCATCAAGACAGAATGATCGGCATCCCAGAGGTGTCAGGATGGATTCCAGGCAAAAGCTTTCACAGCTGAAGGCAAAACGTGGGGTTAATACTGAAGAGAAACAGAAACAAGATTTGAACAGTGGTTTTGCCTAAAGAAGGAGTATTGTATGAAAGGCCTTGGCACAAGTCCTGGCAAAAAGTGTCAAAAGTGACACATCTTTCTTCTGTGGCAATATTTTAGTATCTTAGCTGCTTCATTATCCTTGAGACAGATCAAACTGGACACAGATTTGGCTTTCACATGTACTCCACTGGCTGCATTTGACCAGTTCTTTTCAGTTAGATGATAAACCCTGGAAAACAGTAGGAGATAAGTAACTACAAACAGGAAGCTGGCTGTTAAAGAGTGCATAAATTCACTACAGTGGGGATTAGTGTGCATAGGAAGTCTTGCTCTGGCATCCATACATCAAAAGAGATTGAAAATTAAGTTGAGGCTGGGCTCAGGTTCCTGAGAAGGAATGAATGATGGTACGAGGTCTACCAGAAATTAGAGTTATCTGTATTTTTTTAAAATTATAATCGTGGCACAGTCAGAGCTGGTAGGGTGGCCTTCTAGCAACTTTGGTCTCCATAAACATGGAAGGATGAGTAGTTACACGTAAGTGATGGCACCATTCCAAATTCTTCAAGACATTCCTCTTCCTTACGAGAAGACAACTGAAATAAGGTTTCCACCACTCATACATTTTAGGCATCAGGGAACTGGCCCTGGCTGCCTAAAATAAAAGAGCCAACACTACTCAGAGAATGAACCTTTGCTCCCTCTCATCTCCAAGCCGCATATTTGAAGAAGAGGAGAGGGTAGGTGTCTTTTCTTCCTTGAAAAATCATGATTTTCATTCTTCCATATAATATAGGCAATTCTGAAGATGCCAGGCATGTACTCGCTCCACAAGGCTAATATTAGTCCAATGAACTAAGTCTTTGTGGAAAAACACTTTCGTCCAGACCAACATTGGGCATCCTGCCCAAATATCATTACATCTGTGGAAAAGCTGTTATCCATAAGGTGAAAGAATGTCTGACACAGCCAGAAAAATCCACTGGATGAGGAGATGAAGTTAGTGAGGATTTAAAAAAAATAAAAGAAATCCAAAATGTAATAGTTAATCTTTAGCAGAAATGGTTTTTTGAGGTTTATGGATACCTGGCATCAGCTACAGCCAAGCAGAAGAAAATGACTGGTTGCAGTTTTTTTAATTCTGGGCCAAGAAGTAGACTACTGTGGTGTTTTGGAAGGCTAAAACGTTTTGATACCAGCTCTGCCATTTACAGACATTTGTGGAATCAGAATACACAAATTCCTGACAAGACAGCAGGTATTTTCTTTTGTCAGCTTTGGTACTGACCAGACAGTCTTGGAGGCCTAACGAAAGCGATTCCAGATTGCAAGTGTGACTGACAGTCATCAGTTCCTCAAGAGACCAACTCAACTGAAGCATTAAATTTAAAACTGAAACAGCTGCTAATACTTGTACCTTCCCTTCCCTCCAACCTCATTTTCCCCACCAGGACTAGGGAAGGAAGATCATTTTCCACCTATAAATCAGAAGTTACTGGTCTTAAACCTTACCTGCCCAGATAGTTGTCATATTTACAGAAGGGGGAGGGGAGATGAAGGTTTCTTTAAACAAAACACCAACAGTAAACTGAAAAGGTAAGTACATCCTTCTGAAGGGGTACTAAGAGTGCACAGCTGTTCCAGCTGTCCCTGCACCACCTCTGTACGTCGGGGATGGCAGGGTGCGGATGCCCTATAAATGAGGATGACGCATGCACCTCCTAGAGACACACTAACCAAAGCAGTGCACTTTGGAATCACATTTAAAACAGAATAAAAATAGGAGTTCCTAACATCACACCTGCCTCACCAAATGAGGGAGTACTTTTACATTGTGAAAGTTTAATGAAGCAGCTATTTTTATTTATTGTTTCTGCTTTCACTGAATAAAAAAATGACGTAAAAATGGGCCTGTTTGTCAACCTGAAGCAAATAAATGTAATTTTACTCACTGGACTGCTACCAGATCCTTTTAGGATGTGGGGCTGAGTTTATACTCTCAAAATTTTAATAAATTAGAATGACTTTTACAAGTACTACAACAGCTATTGGAGCTGTAGCCACAAACTCCTACTGTCTGTACAACACAGAACACTTAAGATTTTACTTCAGATCAGAATGGTCTTGCACTGAAAAATATATTTCTAATACTCCCATAAACCTGTCTATTTTATCACCCTTCTAAAATACCTACAGTAAATTCTCAGAAGTCAAAATGGCAACCATGTATTCCTGAAGTAGAGAGGGAAACATCAGAGTCTATCCCTGACTCTCTGTACTCAGCTTATTTAAGAGAGACTCACAGAGACCAGCAAAAAAATGGCCATTAAAAAAAAAAAATCACATTATACCTGTTGTAACTGAAAGCAGAACCTTGGGAGTTATATTCAGTGTTATCAGTCTAAATGTAACTAGAACATGCGTTTTTACAGCTTTCATTCTCTGCACTACTCCTTGATTATTCAGGTGGCTCTTTCAAAATCAGATTATCACATTCTCTTGAACAGTAATTCTCATTCATCACCATCTGCTTTATTATTTATTTATTCATCACCATCTTTATAAGCATGTCAGACAGATTAGTTGCATGTTTCTGCTGTTAGTATTTGACATCTAACAAAGCCTAATAATCACTGCTTAGAGTTTTCAGAAACATGTTTAAAGCTTCTTTTTATACCATCAGTCTAACAACTGCATTTATAGAGATCATTTTTTTAAAAGTGAAACTTTAAGTACCTCTCCTTAATTGACATTGTTTTGCCGGAATTATCAAGGACATCCTCAGTTGTTTGTGCTTTGTTCTCTCCAACAGAAAACATCTCGCAGGAATTTTTATAAAATTTGCCTTCCAATTGCTCGGAGAGCTCCTGTAGCTTACAGGATGCTGCAGCAGCAGTTTGTGAAACTGTCCTCACTGCTGACGTGCTGGTGAGTTCAGAAGGAGGCTCAGAGTGGTCTGCCCATCCAAAAGAGAAGTGCCAGATTAGACTTAGTGCTAGTCTCAAACATATTTTACATTACTAACACTGAAGCAGAAAATCTGGTTTTTAACATTCAAATCCATGCTATCCTAAAAGACAAAAAAATTCTGGCTGAGCTAGAGTACAACAATTGATCATGCCATGTTATCTGCTGCACAGACTGGCCATTTGTGACTGAAGTTCACATGAAGCCACAGAATATCACGCCCAATACACAATTCTGAACTTCACAGGGATAGGGCAGAAACTGCTGCTCCCATCACCAACCAACGGGAAAACAAACTGATGAAAGTGAGAGGAGAACAGAGAGTAGGGAGAGAGAAGTTGACAAAATTTAAACAAGAAATTAGCTTATTGGTACATCAGTTTAACGCATATGTAATGTGCTAGAAGGCCACAATAGCTTAATAAAGGTATTACTTTCTAGGAGCTTTTTTGCTTTTGTGTTTTTAAGCATCAATTAAACCACAAAAAAATGCCTTGATGAAAGATAAATGCACCATTACAGTTATCCTTAAGGAAGTAAAAGTGACCTTTATTTTTCTTTTTGAAATTCTACAAGCACAACTCTCCTCTGATACACAACTACTCCTGTTTTATCCTACTCTCCTCCTCCCCTGCAGTCATAGGATATATTGAATGGGCAGAATGGACATGGCTTCTGAGGAATACAGGCAGAACTACACCTTCCTCCCTGCACCTGTTCAAAGACCATTAAATTCAAAACAAATTGACTTCACAGGATAAAGACAAAAATATTTTTAACACTACTAGGCACTATGGTTCTGTACCCCATCATAATAAAACAGAAAACTAATATATTATCCTTTTAAATTAAACAGAATAAAAGGCTTTATGCAATGACCAAATATTTCCAAAGCACTTTTTTTAAAGATGGGTGAGTTTACTTACAAAGCTTGAACTATGCTGTGCAGATAGAAAAAAAAATTGCTCTAAGATTTGTTTTATATCTCATTACTGCATTGAAGATAAAGTAACAGGAGTTTGCAAAATTAGCTACCTGAATATTATCCACTGCTAGCTATATGTGTACATATGTAGTTACTACAACTACATATGCATGAGAAGGCAACAGTTCAGAGCAGACACCTGACACAGCAGCAAGTTTAGTTTGTTCAGCATTTTGGAGGGCAGGGATAAGGGCAAAAGAGGAAAGGATAAGTCTTAGCTTCAGCATATAATACCACTTCTTTCAGACTAAGAAAATCTGAATAAGATCAAGCCATCTTTAAAGGCTGAAGAACTGAAAAAACAACAAATAGAAAATTGTACTTTAAAACTTAAGTTACTGTAAAACTTAAGATTTTGTGAGTCTCTCTCTACTTTTAAGCAGTGTTTGAAAAAAAGAAACATAACCAGCTTTGATAATGCTTGAAAGGAAGATGTTTAGAGAAATGCCACCGTTTGCTGAATGAGAATACACAAACAGCAAGTATATACCGCACCTCTTTGCAAAGTCTTGCTTTTCATAACACTTTCCAAATCCATCTTTTCTTCAAAGGACTGACCTTCTTTGACTTCCCATTTACCTTGCATGCCAGTATCAATTTCCTTCTGTTCAAGAGGCTGAAAAAGTGCTTGTGAACTAAACAGTTCCATGCTGCCCTTCCTCAGGAAGCCGTATGTAGTCTCTTTATGGTAGTCTACCGTTTTTTCAGGAAGAGGATGTGTGGTTTGTTCCTCAAAGGAGCTGTACTTTGTAATTTCATTAGCTTCATGTGCTAGAAACCTCTTTCTCTCTTCTCCATGCTTCTTTGACGCTCTTTTGCTTTCCAGCAGTTCCACTGAGGGCTGCCACTGCTCTGACCTCTGGGCGCGTTTCCCCGCAGAGTCCGAGCTCTCTGCTGCGGCGTGGAACCTCGGCTCGGCTCCGGCAGCGGCGCCCGCGCTCTCGCCACCCGCCGCCCTGGCGTGCGGGTCTGCAGCAGGCAGCGCGCCGCGGGCGGGCGCCATCGCTGAGATGGACGCTGCGACCGCAGTGGGTAATTTTTCCACTTTCATTTTGTACCTGTGCACAAAAAAATAAAATCAAAATAAAGGACTTAAAAGCTCTAAAATCACCAGTTCCCCAAAACGGTCTATTCGTATCAGCTCCTCAGAGGTGTGCTTCTGTATGAACATAGTGCTTTAGAAATAAAGACTAAAAACAGCTGAGGAGAGCAATAATAGCACCATAATTTGGCTGCAGACGAATTATTCCACCCAGGGAAGAAAGAACTGCACGTGAACAGCAACACCTTTAGTAAGAAAGCAGTGCATGTGTAGCATGCTACATGCCATTGTGTCAGGGCCCCGTGAAAAGGCTCACACTGGTATGGTGCTGTGCAGCACTGGGGAAAGAAATTAGTTCAGGTTCCAGATGCTGGATGACATGCCATGTGCCCAGGCTAATCATCTCTGCCTCTCAGCAGGACTAATTAGCTTTGGCACAGCTCTGCTCTGATACAGTTCCTAGCTCTGGAGCTAGCTCAGTGCCAGAGAGACTGCTCCGTGCTGTTCTACATCGGGCAGGCATT